TGTCCTATACTACACTAAAATTATAAATTTATGTTTATCAGAAAACACCTTATGAAAGTAAAAAAGGGCAGGATATGAGTGGGGAAAAGATATCTGCAATACATAGCACACAAAAGACTTTTATCCAGGATATTTTAATTAAACATTCCTATACTGTTAGAACCAGGCAAACCATCCAGTAGGAAAATGGTTAAAAGAATTAAACTACCAGTTTGTTTTGGTGGGGTGTGTGTATGTCTGTGTGTGTGTGTGTATGTGTGTGTGTGTTCAATTGTTCTTTGCATTGGTTTCTGCTCTGCATCATCATGTAGAGTGGTGGTGGGGAATGGGTCTCAGGGAACACAAAAGTGAACATTGCAATCTGCAAGTAGTTTCTGAATCCTAGCACCCCATCCCCTACTTTATTTGATTTTCAGAAACAAAAAGAGACAGCAAAGCTTCCCATCCACCATTGTATTTCAAAATAGAACAAATCCAGAGCCCAGAACAGGGAAGAATAGAGAACTGAGCAAACATCAGAAGGAAAACCTCTCCCACCGACACTGAATAACAGAACTAAAGAGAAAAAGAAGAGCTCTGTCACAAATGAGGAAAAAAACCAAAGGAAGACCTCAGACAATTTCAAGTGTACCGAAGAAAAAACTCCTGAAAAATCAGACTTTGGTCTCCAAACAATGGAAGTTACCAATGACTGGCCCCAGAATATGACAGGGATTAGGGACTGGATGGAAAGAGTGAATAAGACTCAAAAAGACAAGATGCAACACTGAAAGAACTTGTAATAGAGATTTTGGCAATAAAAAATTTCATGCAGGAAATAAATAAAGGATGACAAGCATGGAAAGCAAATTAATCTAGCTGAAGAAAGTTCAGAACTTGAAGACCAGAACATGGAATTAACCTGATCTGTAAAAAACATAGAAAGAGGACTCAGAAAGAAAGAACAAAGCCTACAAGAGGTTTGCAGTTATATCAACAGGCCAAACCTTTGCCTGATTGGTATCCTGAAAGAAGAAAGGAAAATGGAGAACTTGGAGCAAGTATTCCAGGAGAAACTTTCCCCATCTCACCAGAAATGTGACCAGCCAAGCACAAGAGATACAGAGAACCCCCACAAGACATCAAATGAGAAGACCAACCCCTAGACACATAGTAATCTGCCTACACAAAGTAGGCACAAAAGAAAAAATCCCAAAGGCAGCAAGAGAGAAAGGTCAGACTACCTACTGGGGAAAACCAATCAGAAAAGCAGCAGACCTATCAGCAGAAACACTACAAGCAAGAAGGGACTGGAGCCCTATATTCAAAGTCCTCAAAGATAAACAATTTCAACCAAGAATTTCCTATCCAGCCAAGTTCAACTTCATCAGTGATGAAGAATTTAAATCCTTCTTAGACATCCAATCTTGCCATGCACATTCTCAGACCACAGTGGAATAAATATCAAAACCAACAACATTTTCCCAAAGCCCACAAAGACATGAACACTAAACAGCATGATGCTGAACAACAACTGGGTCAACACTGAAATCAGAGAAGAAATTGAAAGATTCCTGGAAACAAATGAAAATGAAGAAAAATCTTACCGAAACCTCTGGGATGCCATGAAATCAGTTCTAAGAGGGGAATTTATATCTCTATGAGCACACATCAAGAAAACAGAAAGCTCACACATAGAAAGCCTAACAAATCACCTCAGGGAGCTGGAAAGAGAAGACCACCAAAACCCCAACTTTAACAGAAGAATCCAAATCACCAAAATAAGAGCCCAAATACTGGACATAGAAGACAGAAATATCATAGAAAAAGTCCAAATAAACACAATCAGAAATATAAAAGATCAAATCACAATTGACCTGGAAGAAATACAAAAAAAATCAGAGATTACTATGTACACCTATATGGAAACAAACTTGATAACCTAAATGAAATGGAGGACTTT